TGCTTTGGATATCACATTAAATTCTTATTCGCGTAATATCTTGAACTGTTTCCAGTCTTGAAATTAATTCTAAACTGAACAAATTCTAAATTTAACTTTCCTGCGTTAATTCCCGGAAATGACGTTGTTTCTGACGGTGTCAACTCCCGAGTTCACATTGTACCTTTCTACTATGGGTATTTATATTCTGACTTTAACCTAGCTGTCTGGCAATAAGGATTTTCTCTTCTTTTAAAATGTCAGTGCGTTTTTTTTGTACGCTGCTAACATCATGCTGTGTTTAGAGATTCTTGAAATTAAGATTCTCAAAACTATACTTGTACTGAAAATTATTCCTCCTTAAAGTACGGTGAGAATTTATCGATCGAATTTACTTGATCGAAAATATGAACTTAACATGAAATCTGCTACAGAATTCAGGAATACATATATTAATTCCATAAATCCTTCAGTCACATAATATTTGTCTAAGAAAATCATTGGCTTAAATACATAAATTGTATTATTTAAGGTCTGGAATTTTATCAGTCATTACACTAACTCTTAGGCCGTTGAAATTTAAACTCAAAGGGAGTCTCTTAAATTAATGCGGGTGTTGGACCCATATCAAACCTTCAAAATTCTACGGACCTATCGTATTGGATTCGTAGGTGCCCGTCGGGATAATTCGCTCGATAAATCACTATGTTCTTTAAAAGGAATCATTTTCTTGAAAACTTTCCTTACGAATATTTCCGTTAACATAAGGTTTAATGCCATTTTGTTTTACTGAAATCACGTCTCGGGTTCTTTGATAACTTTTTGTCAAAACAAACACTATGTTAGTTTTGTTTCGTTAAAACTGTGCAGTTTCTGAAATCTATGTTTTACTGCATCTTAATGTCAGATTTCAAAAATGTGTTCTTCGTAATAATTCTTCGTCTCGTCGAGATCTAAAATTATTGTTTTTGGTGAAAGTTGAAATTCAGCCTCTAAAGGCCTCGTTTGGCTGAAAACAGTGGCTGCTTTTTTTTTTTGGTTGTAAGAAATGCTGCAGCAATCTTTTAAAATGCTGCTGATGTTATAGTAATGCTGTAGCAAAACTTTTCTTTTTAAAATTGTGTCGGACAGCTTATCCGTTTTTTGCAAAATAGCTACAAACTTGCTTTTATAGTTAAAATTAGGTTTTGTCTCAGTAACCAAAAATGTTCAAAACATCAAGGACTATAAGTTCAAGCTTTGAAACATCAAAAAATCTCATTCTAGAGTCCTCGTTTTCGCGTTCAAAGTAACCGGTAAATTTTTCCTCTAACCCAAAATAAGCAACTTAAACCGAACATAATCATACCACATATTGCTAATCATACTAACCTCAACACTCACAAAACCAACATAAAACTCACACACCCTTATTACAACACATCTTCCTCAAGAACCACAAATTTACATCCATAAATCCAAGCTTAAAGTTGGCTAGAAATTAATGGAGAAGAGTTTGAGAACTTACCCTTGAAGAACTCTCTCTCTCTCTTGAAAACCTTTGAACTCCTCTAAGATTTGTTAATGACTTGGAACTAGAAAATATAAGGAAATTTAAGAGGAATATTTCTACATTTCAAACTTTACTAAAACATAAAAAAAGAGGGGATTTAGAGTTTCTTTACCCTTGGAGAAATGCTTGTCTAGACTCCTCCTAGATCCTTTGATCTCCTTCTTCTTCTTCTATGGTTTGATAGTGGCTCAAGATTAAGAGAGTGGGAGAAAATATTTGAGAGAGAATGGAGGAGTGTGGTATGGCCGGATTTTGAGGAGGAGAGAAAAGCTAGGAGAAAAAAAAATGAAGCTTATCCTATATTGGTTCCTTTTATAGGCAACTTGGAAATTATTTTTTTAACACCAATTCCACTCCATCATTCAACCAAATTTTTGGTTCAAATCCCCTTTTCTTGGCCGGTTTTGGAAGGAGAAAAGAAGAAGCAAATTTGCCATTAATTCCCCTTCAACCACTACCATCACATCACCTTAACATGTAACCTTCTAACATACTCAACTAGCCAAATTTTGGCTCTATTTCTATTATACATGGCCGGCCAAGTGGAGAATGGGAGAGAGAAAAATAAATCCTACCCCTTGTACTTTTGTCCACTCTCATAAGTTTCTCTTGAAACAGCTAAAAATTATACTAACTGTAGGTAAGTAACTTAGCCGACAGGAAATTCTAGTTTCTAACGGTTCTTTTTCTACTGCTTATTTACAGTTTAATATTAATTCCCGACTACTTTGAGATCACGTTAAATTCTCACTCGCGTAATATCTTGAACTGTTTCAAGTCTTGAAATTAATTCTAGACTGAACAAATTCTAAATTTAACTTTTCTGCATTAAATCCCGAGAATGACGTTGTTTCTGACGGTGTCACTCTCGAGCTCACATTGTACCCTTCTACTATGGGTATTTATCTTGTGACTTTAACCTAGCTGTCTGGCAATTAAGGATTTTCTATTCTTTTAAAATGTCAGTGCGTTTTTTTT